CTATGCAGCTGACTGACGCTCCAGTGTCCAGTAACCCAACTACCATTTTGCCCAACATTTCAACCTGCGCGTAAGGCCTGAAATCGTTAAGTTGCCCCACTATGGCTGAGAGCAAGAGCTTGCGTTCTTTCTTTTTTAAACTTTTGTAATTGTCCCTACGGCTTGTTGAACGAGTGGTATGATTGCTCTCTAACTCAGTTTTGGAAGAAATCTGGACAGTTGATTTTGGTTTTGGGGTTAGTGAAGTGAATCTGGTTGGTCGGTCATCGTTGCCTTCGAGACCATCTGTTTGCGTGCCTTTGTGGCACGCTCTGCTGAGTTTTTTGTCGGGTGGCACTTGATGCAGGTATGACTGTACTGGCCGTCTTCTCCGCATCCGAAACAATACACCCGCTTCGGTACTGGGCACTTGGTATGTGGATGTCCCTTTTCTTTACAGTTCCAACATCGCAGATTTATGGCCGCTAACTCTTGATCTTCATCTGACTCTTCGCTCTCTGTTACTGTCTCTACCTGACATTGCACCTCACAGACTTGCCTCCTGGGTGGTCCGTGGCGCGGTGTAAATCCTTGCGGCTTTCCTACGGTTTGCATAAAAATTTCTCGGGTCCTTACTAGTCGTCTTAATTCTTGCACAGTTCGGGTATGCTCATACAAAATCTCATGTTGGACTTCTGGAAGGAGGTTCGCCCGCAAAGTTTCAACCATTGCTTGCTCTGACATTGGTTGCGACAGTCTATCTGCAAGGGCAGCGATTATCCTATGAAAATCATCGAAAGTTTCGTTTCCCCGTTGCTTCCTTTGGTCTATTTCCGCTCGAATGTTCCTGTCAGTTCTATCGTCTTTGAATTGGCCTTTAAGTCCTTCAACTAACTCGAACCAACGCACTGCAGATACGCTTTTATGAAAACGCCAATACCAATCGCTCGCGATTCCGTCAAACAGCAAATTAGCATTCTGAGCCACTAGCTCAAGATTTCCCTCCAATGATTGTCCTGCTAAAGCTTCTACTCTGTATATAAAGTCTTCGACAGTCATTGGCCCTTTTCCTGAGAAGCGTAGCTTCCAACCAACCATGATTTGAGCAATCTTATCTGGCCTTAAGGAGCTGCTTGCTGAGGCAGGCGAATAATTGCTACTACGATTCTGACCTAGATTTGGTGGACCTTGAGGATCGGTATTACCTCGGTTATACATCGGGTCTAACATTATCTGGTTAGGCGAAAAATTTGCCGCTTGGGCTTGCGAATTCCCTGCGAACGCTTGGGTCATGGTTCTTGTTTGTTGGGCCAAAGCATCAGCGAAACATTTTGTTTGCTGGGCCAATGCAGTCGTTAAGGCTTCTGAAATGGCTACCCTGATAGTTTCGGCCATTGCCGACTGAAAATCAGTTTGAGGTTCAGTCGGGGCTGAAGACGATTGTTGGTCGTTACCAGTAGGCATTGTGATGTCGCTTGATGGTTTGCCTTGATTAGCTTTCGACCTAGTTACTACGTTAAGTGGCACTATTGGAGTTTTGGTTCTTGAGCCAGAAGGTTTAGTTGGAGTATCAACTGCTAAATTCTCCGCTGATGCGAAGGATAGTGAGCTAGAGCAGACAGGACAGATTTTTGTTTTCCCCGCTTTTGTAGCGAAGCAATTTCGGTGAAAATCGTGACCGCACCTTGCGTGTAGCAATTGGATCGGAAAGGAAATAGGTTTTGCGCAGATCTGACAAACGTTCTCTACTATTTTATTTAGATCTTCTGTGCTGTGTGCTAGGGACATTTCAACAAGACCTACAGCTCCGGAATCTTGCAATAATAATTGAAAAAATATCTACCTAATAATAAAAATAAATAAATAAAATAAATAAATAATAGTAAGCAAAAAAAATAATAAATAAACAAAACATAAATAAATAAATAAATAATCGAAAAAAATCAAAAATAAAACTCTCAAAATTTGGGGTGCCATGCAATCGTTTTCTGCTATCTTTTTGTAAAGTTCCTTGTCCTGCTAAGTCCTGTCGGTAATGAAATGTAATACTATTGACTCTAAAATTTTTAATAATAAAATGTAATTACAAGTGGAAGATGTCGTTTTCAGATGACGAACTATTACACAAAAACAATAAAAAGGTTCACCTCAAGGCAAACGGCAACAAGAGGCTCCTGTAATATCTGGATTTCCATGTAACAGATTCACTAATCTTACATTTAACATCTTGTATCAAATAACTTTTTGCAACTTGTATTATATACAGACTATACCAGACACACCAGGCAAACGGCCAAAAGTGTTCTGTACAATTCCGCCTAAAACTCCACTACAAAAAGATTAATACGCAAAACAAAATTAAATTACAAAAAAAATTGACTAGAAAGGTGAAAGATATCGTTTTCAGATGACGATCTATTAACGAAAATACCTACTTAATCGGTTCACCGCATGGCAAAACGGCAACATCCGGCTCCTATTGTTCAGATTCTCGAAAACAGACTCTTAATCTTACATATAACATCTGGTATTAATAAAATTCTTGAACTTCGCATAAAACACAGACTATACCAGATACACCAGGCAACCGGCAACAAGTGTTCTGTACAATTCTATATTAAACTTCAGTAAAAAAAAAAATAATACTTCCCACGCTAAAAGACGGGATGGCAAATTTATTAAGCCAATAAACAACGCCCTATGCGTAAGTTTAATTAGGTAGCGGCGTTAAAGCTAAATAGCTAAAACTTTTCCAGCGGCCTAATAGTATGCAAGGAGTTGTGATCCGTAAATCACTCCTCGCCGCACCTAATCTAGCGGATGAATGCTGTGGAGATTCTCTTGACTAACGTCTGATGTTACTGACGGTTTTAAATATTTTTTTAATGGATCTGGCCTTGCCGGATCGAACTGTCGCCATGACAGAATCGGGCCACACACGTTTGGGCGCCAAATAAGTTTATTGTTATATATTAGAATACTGTAGCGAACTACGTTTCGAGAGCTGGTGTAATTTGTAGCCTACGTAGAGCACGCGCTGGTTCCGGCATGAGTTACCAGTAGAGGGGGGTCGGGGATAGGTTTTAAGAACGCTGCTACTTGCTCTATAGACGAACAACAAAATCTTATTACTTCGCGTGCTAAAGGGTACGAGGATCTCCACAGGACTAATGGACCGGACTATTGACTAGCAAAGGACAGATAAGGACGAACAAGGATGTAGTGCCTTTATGTCAGCGGTTGTTCAAGCTGACTTGCCCTCCCTACCATGATCACCATCGACCAGATATATTTATGGCGATCCCTAAAAGGCGACTACACTTTACACGACAGATAACATTCGACGACGCATGGCTTCCCTATGGACTCTACTCAACTTTAGACAACATTATAAATTTTATTTTTAAACATAGAATAATCCTATTAACTGACAAAATTTAATTCTAAACAAGAGCATTAGGATCCTAAGAAGTGATTAACATATAGATTGAACTTAAAATTGCGAATTTAATGAATAAAAATTAAATTTAGCGATCGCTGAATATTTCAGTGCTCATGTATATAACATCTAGCTTTTACATGAAATAATACAAATGTAGAGAGCGGGTATAATGGGTGTAGGTATGTAAAATTATGGCATGATATGTGTGGCTTAAAACTTTATATTATTGAGCAGGGAGTTGTGGTTTGGGCTTTATGGGGAGGACATTTTTTTGGAGTTTGTAGTTTCTTTAAATTTTTTTTTTTTTTATTACAGCATTTAAGTGAGGGGTGAATTTTTTATTTTGTAACAAGTTAAATTTTCTCTTTAGACTTTTGTTCTATTTAAAAAGGGTAGTTGAGATTCTTATGACATTAAATCGACTCACTTTGTTTTCCCACGAAGAAGCGCTTCTCGAAGGGGGCCTGTGAAAGAGAACCTCAACTACATAAGAGATCGCTAGCGTTACTCTCACTCGCCTTACTCGTACTCTACAGCGGTACGGTACTCTGCCGTTAAGACATGGGAGAGGGAAGGGAAAAGTACATGGGAAGACGGGACTGCTCAGCTCTAATGCATATTTTCCCTGTTATTGACCTACTCTCTTGATTATAACTATTCTCTTAAAACTACTTAAACTAAAATTCAGCTTCAATCTGCTTCTAGTGGCGTATAATGACGCGTAAAATTCGAAACTTTAAGTTTTAAATGTAATTCGAAATGATTTAGTATTTGAGGGGTTGATTAATTCATTTTTTTTTTGTCTTCTTGGGCTATATTTCCCTACGGCTTACGGATTGTATTGCCGGTAAATGGACCCTAGCCTAAATTTTGTTGGCTACTGGGCTATTCTACAACATATAAACGTAGATGTAGAAAGTAGAAAAAATATGTAGATAATGATAATAAAATATGTAGATAATAAATAAATCAAATTCTCGGCGCTATTGTCGCTGCTGAGGGATCTCGGATTCTGCTGCTGCTGCTGGTGCTGATTGATCGGTTGATGGATATATAACTTCACTCCTGTTGGCGCTTTTGTTCTCCAGACGCCTCTTACGCCCAAGCCTGGCTTTTGGCGGACCGGGGTTATGTAATTAGGTGCCACCTAAAAACATTACGGCGTTCAAACACCACTTTATCAACTTCTCGCACTCAAAAAACTTACCCACTAGGGGTTGGCACTTTAGCACTTGTGTTTTTTTTTTTGGTTTTTAAGCCACTTGTAACGGCGATTGCCGGGAATTTTGGAAATTTTGGATTTCCTTTAATTTGTGTAACTTTGATCTTTGCACTTGCAACTAACTTCTTCTTCGATCCACTGGTAATTTTGGTGTGACTCCAAACGAAATTGACTTCGGGTCGGGACCCTGAGTCCGACCTGTAGCTCAAGCCTACTCACCAATTTGGTGAAGTTTTGGGAGTTCTGGCTCAAGAGACTATATTTTCTACTAAACCATGTAGACCAAACTCTGTTGCCTACTTTTGGGCCGAAAGCAATCTTAGCCAAAAGACAAGCAATCCTACAGGGAGCAGATTGCAATAATCAGTTTCAAAACAAACGTACAAGGAATAACAGCACAGCAAAAGAGAAACGCGATTGATTCAATCCAAACATATTCCAATAAGAACAACGTAACGCGCTGTGACCGCAAATACTTATAAACAAACATCGTTACATTCCCATTAGATCAATTAAAACCAAGCCAAAAAACAACAAAGACTACACTACTGTGACAAAAAGTGACAATTAATTAATTAAGTGAATATTTTTTTTAATATTTTAAGTTAGCAAATGTAAGTATGCAAGAATATTTGGATATGTGTGAACGAAAACTAAATAAGTGAAAATGTTTTTTTTAATATATATTTTTTTTGTGGTGTGTGCTAGCGGAACTTTAAAGTTCCCTCACTTTTAACAACATTTTTCGAAGAAATACACCCGAGAATAAACAGTTGGCAAACTGTTCTTTGTTTATCTTCCCAAACAAACAAAACCCCAAGAAGTAGTTGGTTGCAAATATATATTTTAATGACAAGTAGTTTCTAGCATTTTTCATTCAGCTTTTCAATGAATTAGCTGTCAGCCTTATTTAAATTCTTTAAATTTACACACTTTTCAAAAGGCGGTTACTTACTGGCCCAGCGCTCGTTTTCCAACACTGAACCGAAACCTGACGTGTCTTTTTGGCCCCAGAGTTGCAAGCGTGTGTGTGTGAGCGTGTCGCGGCCCGTGACTGTGTGCGTGCGTAGAAAGCGCCGGCAAAAAAGTCAGATATTCTGCTGCTCTGTCAGTTCCGTTTGAAGCGTCGAGAAAGCACATTAAATCGAAACCAACTCGAAATAGTCAGCGGCTCAGCGATAAGTGTAAGTGATAGTTGGAAAGGAAAACAAGTTGGAAGGGAATAGCGGCGTTAGCAACAATAACTGCAATTGCAGTTGCACCGCCAGAATATTCGTGAATTTGCCGCAGGAGAGCGAGAAAAGAGAGGGCCACCTATACACTGCAACTCCCGCAGTCGCCATGTTGGCAAAGGAAAAGAAGGGGCTAACAATAAAAAGGGCTGCTCCACAAAAAAAAAGTTCGCCAGCACGTGCCCAAAAATAAATAGAAACGTGCGAATTAAGTTTTTTTTTAGCTGCATTCAATAAAAGCCAACCAATGACGTGGTGGCCGTGACACATTAATTATGCTAATAGGCAAATAGCAAGTTCGGTGAATGAACTTTGGGTTGTCAAGCTTCCTATTGGCCATCAATAGTTTAAATTTATATTTATTCGAACCAATTTTACAGTTAATTTACAGCTAATTCCGCCTGAATTTTTTTAAGAGCGAAAAGCGCCTGCGCATGCCGCTGTCTGTGTGAGTGGGTGTAGGGCCCTGTGTGTGTGTGAGCGCTCAATCCGCTTGGTACACGTCATTTATTTGGCCACAGAGCTTAAATCTTTGGAGAGAGCAGCCCGCTGGCCAAAAGTACACGTCAGTGCGGCATAGAAACAAAAGACCAAAAACCTGAGTGGATAAGCTATAAACAGCTGTGTAAATTTAGCGTTTCGGTGAGCCAAGGAGCGAGGGTGGGGGAGACTTTCTCCAAGTGCGTGAAAGAACCAAAAGAAAACCAGTTACTTGGCCGCTCTCTCGCCGGCAGCACTCTCTTTGCCCCCCACTCTCTCCCCTCTTCAGAAAGAACCAGAAAAATGTTACACGTATACAAAATTCGCTGCGCTCTCCCTCTCTCTCCGTCGCTCTACCGCGACGTCGACGTCGGTCAATGTCAGCGGAGCAGAGCCGCGATGAGCACAGCGCTTAGCACTTGCCGGGCAGTTAGCCATTGGAGTAGACGTGTTCTTTAACCGATCTGGACTTATATATATACATAGCCCCAATAAAGGTACTGAGATTGGTAGAATCGCCTTGTGGAGGGGCTGCCAAAGTGGCACAGCTAACGGTACTACATGTACATGTTGACCGTTGACAATCTGGCCGACGTCATCAGTGGCGAATCTCTCTCAGAGAGAGATAGAGTGTGTGCGTGTGTCTGTGTGTGATTGTGTTGACGTGTACAAAAAGCCGAGCTTAAAATTGCCTAAAACTAATTTAAATTCTTTATATCTCTTTTAATATTTGCAGTATTTCTGAGAGATCTTCAATATGAGGTTATGCATATTACTGGCTGTCGTGGCCTTCGTTGGCCTCTCGCTGGGCGAGGAGAAGAAGGAGAAGGACAAGGAGCTGGGCACAGTGATCGGCATTGATTTGGGCACCACCTACTCCTGGTAAGTAAACCCTTAACCCTTATGTGTCCACGTGACGTATGCGGATCATCAAATTTACTAGGGTCATTCGTGCTATTAAGATATGATCCCAGAATAAGTTTGTAAAACAGATTATTAACTCTAAAGTTTGTAGTTTTAAATAATATATCCTAATAATTGGATAGTAAAGTGAAAGATCTAAAAAATTACGATTACTTTTGTATTAAATTAAAAAGATCTTTAAAAAATCTTTAGAGTTCTAAGTAATATATAAAGAGAAATATCTAAAGATCTACGATTAATTTTGTATTATATAAAAAAAAAGTTCCTAAAAATATCATGAGAGTTTCTTAAATCGTTTAATTTAATATTTAATTTACAAGCAAAACTTAGAACTACCAAGTATTCAGCTTGTTCACTTCCACATGCGCATTTGATTAGTCATTTTTCCAGTAGTTTAAGGTTCAAGTTCAAGTTTTACAATCTCAACTCGTTTAGATGCAAATTTCCCCTATTCAATGATATTCCTTACTCATCTTCCCCACTCTTTTCTTGCAGCGTTGGTGTTTACAAGAACGGACGCGTGGAGATCATCGCCAACGACCAGGGCAACCGCATCACCCCCTCCTACGTGGCCTTCACCGCCGACGGTGAGCGTCTCATCGGAGATGCCGCCAAGAATCAGCTGACCACCAATCCCGAGAACACCGTCTTCGATGCCAAGCGTCTGATCGGTCGCGAGTGGTCGGACACCAATGTGCAGCACGACATCAAGTTCTTCCCCTTCAAGGTTGTCGAGAAGAACTCGAAGCCCCACATTAGCGTGGACACGTCGCAGGGCGCCAAGGTCTTTGCCCCCGAGGAGATCTCCGCCATGGTTCTCGGCAAGATGAAGGAGACCGCCGAGGCCTATCTGGGCAAGAAGGTCACCCATGCCGTCGTCACCGTGCCGGCCTACTTCAACGATGCCCAGCGTCAGGCTACCAAGGATGCCGGAGTGATCGCCGGTCTGCAGGTGATGCGCATCATCAACGAACCCACTGCCGCGGCCATTGCCTACGGTCTGGACAAGAAGGAGGGCGAGAAGAACGTGCTGGTGTTCGATCTGGGCGGCGGCACCTTCGATGTCTCCCTGCTGACCATCGATAACGGCGTGTTCGAGGTGGTGGCCACCAACGGCGACACCCATTTGGGCGGTGAGGACTTCGATCAGCGTGTGATGGACCACTTCATCAAGCTGTACAAGAAGAAGAAGGGCAAGGATATCCGCAAGGACAACCGCGCTGTCCAGAAGCTGCGTCGCGAGGTCGAGAAGGCCAAGCGCGCTCTGTCCGGCTCCCACCAGGTGCGCATCGAAATCGAGTCGTTCTTCGAGGGCGACGACTTCTCCGAGACCCTGACCCGCGCCAAGTTCGAGGAGCTGAACCTGGACCTCTTCCGTTCCACCCTGAAGCCAGTGCAGAAGGTGCTCGAGGATGCGGACATGAACAAGAAGGACGTGCACGAGATTGTGCTGGTTGGCGGCTCCACCCGCATCCCCAAGGTGCAGCAGCTGGTCAAGGACTTCTTCGGCGGCAAGGAACCATCGCGAGGCATCAATCCCGACGAGGCTGTCGCCTACGGTGCTGCCGTCCAGGCTGGCGTGCTCTCCGGCGAACAGGACACCGATGCCATTGTGCTGCTCGATGTGAACCCACTGACCATGGGCATTGAGACCGTCGGCGGTGTGATGACCAAGCTGATTCCCCGCAACACCGTCATCCCCACCAAGAAGTCGCAGGTGTTCTCCACCGCCTCCGATAACCAGCACACCGTCACCATTCAGGTGTACGAGGGCGAGCGTCCCATGACCAAGGACAACCATCTGCTCGGAAAGTTCGATCTGACTGGCATTCCCCCAGCTCCTCGTGGCATTCCCCAGATCGAGGTCTCGTTCGAGATCGACGCCAACGGCATCCTGCAGGTCAGCGCCGAGGACAAGGGCACCGGCAACAAGGAGAAGATCGTGATCACCAACGACCAGAACCGCCTGACGCCCGAGGACATCGATCGCATGATCCGCGACGCCGAGAAGTTCGCCGACGAGGACAAGAAGCTGAAGGAGCGCGTCGAGTCGCGCAACGAGCTGGAGTCGTATGCCTACAGCCTGAAGAACCAGATCGGCGACAAGGACAAGCTGGGCGCCAAGCTGAGCGACGAGGAGAAGACCAAGCTGGAGTCGGCCATCGATGAGTCGATCAAGTGGCTGGAGCAGAATCCCGATGCCGATCCCGAGGAGTACAAGAAGCAGAAGAAGGATCTGGAGGCCATCGTTCAGCCGGTGATCGCCAAGCTGTACCAGGGTGCTGGCGGTGCTCCTCCCCCAGAGGGCGGCGACGATGCCGATCTCAAGGACGAGCTGTAAGATGGCCCCAAAGCACATACACACACAGCCCAGCCCACATCCATTCGAGATCATAGTGTTGGAATTAATTCAGACTGATTAAACAATTATAACTTAATTGCAAACGCAGTAGCCACAACAACAACAACAAGAAGAAGAACAGCAAATATAGCAGAGACCACAACAGCAACAGATAATACTACTTTATAGCCCTCAGCAGCCATCCCCCGCCCCCCATGCCCGCCCACCATCCATTCGACCTTTAAGGCAAACTATCCAAAACTAAAGAAAACAAATCACAATCCTTTTTTTACATTTTTTTTTTTTTTTACACTTTAATTTAAAGTATTTTTTTGTCAACTAAAAATATGAGAAATGTAATAACGATTTATTCGAGTGTTCCTCGCATTTCTCGCCTCCTTCCGCCCACTTCCCCCACGTTAGCTGCATAATTATGTAAAACTGTAAATTTTTTTATATATATACACATAACTGTGACGACTGTAAGCCCCGAGATCCCCGAGGAGTCGCAATCCAGTAGGTTAGCCTGCGGATGTGTAAAGCGGAAGCAACAAACAAACAAACAAACACAAAACACAGACAAATGTTATATGTATAAGCGCGTAATAGCCGGATTCCACTGGCACATTTGCATTGCTGCTCACTGCGGAAAAGGACTTTGAATTTTCCGGATAGCAATGCGAATGTGTCGGGGGATTCTGGCCGCATAGAAGAGATGTAGAAGAGCACAGGGAGCTGCGGGTCGTGCGGATAATAGGTCGATGAGAATGCAAACGGCAAGAGATAAACCACAAAATCACAAGAAAACCACTAAAAGCAGCGGCCACTCCATCAGCCAGGCTAAATAAAAGGATTCTTCGATTTTACGAAGGATTTTCTAATTTATTTAAAAATAAAATAAAAAAAATTGAAAAAAGAAATTTATCGGTTTTATTATTTGGGTGAAAAGTGGGAATTGATCTTTATTTTTTAGGTATAATTGGATGTTCTTGGTTTTGGTTTGGTATCAAATGAAAAAGCTCTTAGCGAGGTGACAAGACTAGTGACGATCGCACCTTCAACACAATCAACATTTGAGACGAAAAATAAAGGTTTATAGAAATCCGATTAGCCGCCCCTATGAACTAGTTACATATTTAGTAAAATTCATAGATTTCCGCCCAAAATAAAAGTCATATTTCGGTTTTCATCATCTTTATTGTTTTCTCTTCATTCGCTGGCATTGAAATTCATCATCATTTCCTTGCGCATCATATCAACCTTATCTCTGTTTTGCTATATAATTCCTGTGATAACGGTATTATCTTCTCTCGACGACTGCTTTATCATTTCATTTTTTAATCTTAATTATTCTTAAATACATTAAAAAAATACATAAAATATTTTGTTGTTTTCTGTTTTTTTTTTTTTTTTTAAATATCAGTTCTGCTCTCGCTTTCGCATTCGATCTTGAATTCAACGAACTCGGAAGAGCAGAAATTCAAGCACCGCCACAGAACTTTTAAATTTCTCGGCTCTTTTGGCAGTTGAAAATAACTGAAATTCCGGCTTCGTTTAATTTAAGCCCAATTTGAAATTTGGGAACAGTCTGTATGTGTATGTGTGTGTACATATATAAATAAGCTAACGGTATATTGTTTATATGTTATATGTATATGTATTTCTATATAAGTATATGCACTCTCAGATTTCGAAAAAGGGAACACCGATATTTTTCGAATTCGGCTCACGTTCAGTTTTGGTTTTATCTGTTGTTGTTGTGGTTGCTGTTTTTGGGTTCCTGCTTTCAGCTTTCAGTTTTCGGCTTTCGATATTTCCAAGTTCTTGAAGTAGTACGCTTTGAAGAAGAAGCAAATAGGCTGGGGCTCGAAATCGGGGGGCAGGGGTAGAAATAGAATTGAGGGAACAGAGGTGGGTATCCGGCCACATGACTTAATATTTTAAAGACTATTTATAAATCGGTATAGCCCCTTTCATTTCACTTAATAAATAAAATGCAAAGAATATAGTTGAATACACCTGTTCAGTGTGTCCTGAGTTTTAGTGTAATTCGCAGAGTGAAAAGTAATCTAATAACAGTTTTTGAGAATTTGAGAACCCTTTTCCGTGAAATAAAAGTATTTTTAAAAATATATATTTCTATTTGATTATTTTGAATAAAGAAGTACTTTTGAAATAACTAATAAACAAATATTTACCGAAAAGATAAGGCTGCAATCTAAAAAAATAACGCTACATTTCTTGATCTTCTTTGTTATTAGATTATTTTTTACCTTTTCGTCTAAAGCTCTGGCCACACTGCACCTGATCCTACTTTCCTTATTTTCTCGAACAGGAGCTGACTGTGTGTGAGTGTTTTTCGTTTCTGTATGTGTGTTAATGGCTTTTCTGCTTTTGGATCCAGCGTTGACGATTTTGATGTTGGTCCTTCCTGTCTATCTGGGGTTTTTTCGTAAACATATTCTCGCTCGCTTCTCCAAACTTTGTTTTCAGTGTGGCCCGGCCTGTAGGTGTGTGTGTGTGTGTGTTTGTCTGCCTGTGATTGAATTCAAGTGTCTGTGTGGGTGTGTATCGGCTTAGAGGCGCTTGGGGACCGTATCGGCATTATTCTCAGGCTCTTCGTCCTTGGGCGGCTGACCACGTTGCTGCACGGATCAGCGAATTACAATTATCAAATCGGATCGGATCGGATCAGATCATATTATTTAATATCGGATTGTAAAAAAAACACACACGTGGCAAAAAAAGGAAGAGAGAAAGTAGAAAAAGAAAGCGGAAGAGAAAGAAGAAACACACACATCAATATCAATTCAATCAATTGTAGAAGTAAATTGGTGTAAATCGGCCGAGTTTCCAATTTGCCAGTATGAAAATTAATGAAGTTTCACATTTCGAAAATAAAAATATACTCCAATGTAGTTTTTAAATTGATTTTTATATATTACAAATTACTGTTTTTATATTTTTTTGTTATGGCAAATGTTTAAAATTGATTTCATTCGAAACTCATATTCACAAATTTTAAAAAACAACAAAAATCAACTAGTATTTAGTTTTTAATTAATTTAATTTTTGCTTAAATACATACATGAAAATGTGAAATTGCAAAAATAATCACTGAGTCAAAATTATTTAGCAATTGGAAAACGGTGAAAGACGATTATAATGGTATGGAATGGCTGCAGGGTGTTGATCTGAACCGTGAATGTCTATACCAAATGAGTTGGCCGAGCCAACGGAAAAGTCCCTTGGGAAATCCGGGTAAACATGGCGGTGATATGAATGTCCTTCTAAATCTCCAAACTCTGAGTAATCTTCATTATGTGTGTGTCTCTGCGTCTCTGTGTGCTTCAATTAATTCGCAAATTTATTTTACAATTTCTGTGGAAAGTCCCTCAATCTCTAGAGATTTAAGAAAACAAGTTCGATTTTAAAACTAAAATGTTTTTTAATGTTAAAAAGATATCTTTAAAATAGATTCTTTAATTTTATATCCGAATTAAAATAACTTCGGTAAGATTCCTTTTAAATCTCTAGAGTTTTCACAAGACCCCCAAGTGTAGGATGTAAGTCGTGCCTGTGATAAGGTAATCGGGGTTATTTGTGTTGTCCATGAAGATGGAGGAGCAAGCAGTGTCAAATATTGTGTACATTGGTAGGTGTATTTATGGTTGGTGAGGTGCATGTTTAGGCCCATTAAGATTATTAATAAAAATAAACAAATAATGTATAAGTTTAGCATATTTATTTTTTGATTGTTCATTGCTGTATTCGTTTCACATTCGCATTCGGATCGGCGCTAAGCGGGTAATATAAGTGGGGAATATACAGTAAGTTATGCCAGGCGGATGCTGCAGCAGCCAGCTTTTGTCACCGCCGGTGATGATGATTTGCAGTTCTACGACCCAAATCTCCTTGGTCAAATTCTCTGTAAGCCTGAACTTTTAACCTCTCTCTATCTAAATAATTCCTAAAAATTCATTTAAAATTTCCTCTTCAAAATATAAAGATTAAGAACTAGCAGAGCTCTTAAAATTCTTTAAAAAATATATGTATTTGAACTCTTTCTTTGATTTGAAGTCACCTATTAACTATCTCAAAACTATTGTGATAAAAATTCAAGATTTCAAAATAAGATGGTCTACAATCGTTAATTATGAAACTTTATGACTCCGTAAATTATAGTTTTGTGCGCGCTCAAGAAGTTCGTCTGTGGAAAATGAAATAACGGCGATCACTCGGCCTCGGCCTCGGGATCAGGGCGACTCAGGATCTCCTGACATAGTGCAATGTAGTCCTTGAGGAGGTGCAAAGCATAGCATATAGAAAGGTGAAATCAAATTAAAAAGGTATGCGATATGGCCCGGGGCGGGGCACACGTAACATGAAACACAGCGGTGACATATAGTTATAATCCTCGTGCGGGCGTAACCGGGGGTCTTATCGAAAATGATATCATACAAATATTGGATAAAATTGAAATTATTTGCGAGGCTAGCTTTTATTTTGACCATATCTGGAAGGGGATCGTGAGACATTTAATGTGAGGAAACACTCTGATTCGTAGTGGCGAAATGATAGACTGCTTTTTGTATTAAATATCAGTTTCGTTTTTATTTTAGTTATTGTTATTATTACTTTTGTTCTCCATTATTTTCATTTCTCGTTTCGTTTTATTTTCTCATTTATTAATTGTAAACAGTTTTCTGCACACTCTCAGATTAACTTATCAACGGTCCTCGGCCTTTCTATCGATCTCTATATAGATTTCCATATATATATATTTATACTTTATTTCTAATTTTCTTAAAAAACGTTATTCACTTCTCGTTTTATTGTTTGTGTGTTTTGTTTTGCGTTCTCTTAATTACGCAAATATTCATATTGATCTTAACAACATAAAAAAACAAATTTAATTAATTCGTTTTGGCAGAAGAAATGCAGTTCTACATTATTACATTATTGGGAAATGCTCTTGCAACTACATACAAATACGTTAAGAATTAAGGAATTAAAAAAAAAAACAACAAGGGGAGGGGGAAGAATTCAGTAGAATTTAAAATGGAAACGATTCCGAATTGGACCCTTAAAAAACTAAACTATACCGATTAATGCCGCTACAACTGGAACAAAGCCAAAGCTATATATGTATGTATTTTTAAACTTTACTGAACACACACAATCTGCAATGAGTTTTAAATGCTGGCTTTTCGTTTCGATTTATTCATCATTCGTTTTCTTTGCGTTTTTGATTGATTGTTGAACACTGCCACAAGTTTGCTATTGCTTCTGCGAACGATAAGGCAACACTTGCCGTTACATCGGTTGTATTTGTATTACAGTGTGTGCACACAATGGAAAAAGGATGCAGCACTTGGTCCTTTTCCCATTTCTTCCTGCTTGTCCGTGCATGCTCATGAGTGTGTGGGTGTCTCTGAGTGGGTGTGTTTGTTTGATTGTGTGTGTCTGTGTGTGCTTTTGGGGCTTCTTCTTTAATCGATCGTTTCGTTGCTTGAGTGCTGCTGCCATTTTTCTTCCTCTTTCTTAATCATCCACATCCTTATTTTCCAAGCGGCTGCTTCTCTTCTTTTTTTCTTGCTGTGTATGGTGTTTTGGGGATCTGTCTGTGTGTGTGTGTTCTGTATCTGTGTGGATTTGTGTGTTTTTGTGTGCGTGAGTGGATGGGGATGACTGTATTGGATGTTGTTTCTCTTGTTTTTCGGTTACTTCTTTGAGGGAGCTGGGTTTTCGTTATCCTTAATAATCTTGCCCGCCACTATCTTGGGGATCTTCGAGTTTTGGGCAGGCGTTACTGGCTGCTATGGGATTTATACAGGGTTTCATTAGCGTTGTCGTTTACATAAATGCTGATCGTTATTTGTGTTCTTTATTATTTGGAAGTACTATGTTGCTTATATCGTTGTTTCTCTACTTTAAATAACTTTCTTCTCTTCCTATCTCTCTCTCGCTCTCACACACTCTCTCTTCTCTGTCTAATTCGAGTCTCTTTTGTTTGTTTGTTTCTTGTTTTTTTTTTGGTCAAGTGTTGCACTGCCAGTGTTGTAAAATGCCACACAAAAAACATACATACATCAAAGCTGACGAAACGAACAGTTATTAAATACAAAATAATCGGTTAATTGACTAAAGCAACTAAATATTATATTACGCATGTGTGTGTATGTGTGTGAGTGTTTGTATATGTGTTTGTTTAGTCCTGGAACTTAAACTTCAATCCGTAGGATTTCCTGCTCTCGGTAATACTAAAAGCTAACGTAATACACATGTTTTCGAATGTTTTTCATATAGATTAGATTAAAAGAATTGAAGTGATTTAAATAAAAATAAAAATCGCATGAGGTTTCCACATGTTTCAGTGTGCTTTATGAATCGGTGCGTGTGTGTGTGTGGGGTTTTCCTCTCATCTATTTTCTTTTGTTATACAATTTCTTCTGTTTAATGCTTAATTTTTTTTTCTTTTTAAATATAAACGCAGTTTGTTTTTGTTTTGTTTTTTTTTTTAGTTTTTATATTTGTAAAAATGATTCTTTGCTCCTGGCGCTCAAAAACCTCAATACAGTTGTCTCTCTCTCCGTCTCGCTTCTCTATTTCTCAGTGTGGTTGTTGTTGTTGTTGTGTGTTGCTGTCTATCGGTCTTCCCGTTGTAAACTATCATTTCGATTTTTATTGATTTTTTTTCAATTTTTTGTTTGGTTTACATGCAGTTGAATGGATTGTTTTTGTTGTTGTGTTCGTGCGTATGTGTTTGTGTTGTAGTTGTTTTTGTATTTATTGTTGGTGGTTTTATTGAATTAGTTTTTCTACACCCAATGTTAAGAATCGATCGATTGGAACGATCGATTGTAGATCGATAGGTTTTTGTGTTTGTCAGACAGGCAGAGACACGTTCAGATTCATTATCATATTCAGGTTCAGGTTGTCGATCGGATTTTATGGATGTTTGATTTGATTTGGTTTTTGTGGTGGTGTTTGGTTTGGTGGTTTTGTATGTGTGGGGAGAGAAAACAAATAAAAAAAAGATATAATATATATTTATATGCTTAGTTGAATGATTCTTAGGTGGCGTTTTTTAGTCAATATATAGATTTTTAGATTAAGAAATAATATACAACAAAAAAGATGAGAGAGTGGGGTTATAGAAGGGGAAAAGGATAATAGCTAGTTATTGAGTTTTAAATTTACCGCTCGTAGTGGCATTTTAAAATTGGCTGCTGCCTGCAGCTGAATTTGATAAGCTAAGCTGTGTATTTTAAAGCCATACAGCCTGTTTGTAGTTCAAGTTGTCGTCGTTTCGGATATACGCAAACATAGAATATACAGAATGTGGATTTCAGTGTAATTAAATCGGTGTCCATCTCCTGCAAATCTCATTTAAATCTCACCTTGGAACAAACTGATTAGTAGGACGCTTGGGACGATACTCGGGGTGCACCATGAAGAGCATGTGTGGAAATCCAGTGCCGAAATAGGCGCCATCGGTGTGGTGGTGGCGCGACGATTTTGGTGTGTACACGTCAATGCACTTGGGGCAATAGGTCTTCACCATTGCCTCCCCGGGGATGTCCGACAGACCTGAAGATTGCAAAGGGAAATATTAAAATATACTTTGCTTTATTGAGTTGTGTTTGTAGATTACATTAAAATTAGGAAAATAAAGGTTTTTGTATAATTAATATGATCCTAGTGTCAATTTTCTTTCGTTCTGATTTTGTACAAATACAAGTAAAATGTTTGTAGCTGTGATCGGTTTTAGGTCTGTTCAATTGTTTACGATTTGGGAAGAATACGAGAAGTAGCCGTTCTCAGGGTTTGGATTACGATTGATCATCGCTTTTTCGTTCCACCCTTTTATTTACATAAATATTTATGTAATTGAGAAATGTTTATAAGGCAAGTCTGATCTATTTATTTATTTTAACTGATCTGGGATGAGCTCGCGTTTAAATTCAGCGACTCATTGAAATCTAATCTAATATTTGTATACGAATTGAATTTGTTTATGTAAAATTTGATTGACTTTCAGAAAATATCGCAATTGTTTGGTAACTTCTTTCCAATAAATATCAGGCTGATGTCAGAGTTTCCGCGTTAAAAGATCTATTCAGCTTTGAAAAACCTTTACAGTGCTTTATCACGAGCTCTTGACCAATATTATTGCATCGCTTGTGGCGCCTACTCTGACATCAGCCTAATAAAAAGCTAAATTTATTATGAATGCAGTATTTAATGATAAATAACCGGACTAGCAAGGGCTTACATACGTTGCAATCGTATTGCGAATGTTAAAATTCTGGGATATACCATCTTTTGGAAATATAATTCCTTCTGATTTGAAAGAATTATTAAAACCAGATCTTATGGGTATGTATAGTAAAGTTATGGAAGATTTTACAAGTATATGAACCTGGTAGACAATTTTAATTGCGCTTGGAACTTGCGGAAGGAATGCGAACTGGAAAGTTTTAGGATTGATATGTTCTAGTTGGTAATTAAAATATATCACATATTTTATGACATTTGGTTCTTTTTAAAGTGAAAGGTGATCTTATGAGTTAAGAGTGGTTCCAGAAATATTATTCCTTTTCGAGTAGATAGTATATGATACTAAGGAAGAGGAAAAATGCTCTTGATTAAGGGAATATACATAATCTCCAGTGGATGGTAAATGTTGCATGGCCTTCAGTTGGTCAGTTATGCTTGGGACAGTGATATCGATAGCTTAGGCTAGGTTCTAGGTCTAGAGGTTCTTCAAGGATCTGTTTACGCACCCAATGGCAGCATGGGCTGACTTTCGCAGTAGACACGTGGGCAGTGTCCGAAATCGCCAGTTTGATATTTCTCGATCATTTGAGCGATGCCGCGGTTTGTTAGTATATATCTAGCGTGTATGAGGCCGTAGAGCATCTCGGCGGCCTGCTCGGTCATGTCGGACTGCAGGGGATTGTCCTCGAGCTCGTCCTCTGAAGGATTGAAAAATATGAGTAAGTATGCGTATGATATCTTTTTATTTCCGATCTTACCCGGCTCCAGATCCAAGATCATGTCCAAGGCCTGGCGATAGTTGGGCACCTGCTCATTTAAACCAGTTAAATTGAATTTGTCCTGTATGTAGTCCTCGTCCACCTGGAAGGGGAATGGGAAATGGAATTGGTATTGGAACTAATATTGGAAGGTTAAGGGAAATTAGATCTGTGCAAGTATATATCGATATATGTATATATGTGTGTACAGTTGGACCATTATTGCCCCACCTTGCGGCACACACAGACAGACAGACACATGGAGAGCAGGCTCAGGGCTGCACTTTGCAATTGTTGCACTCGTAGCGCGCGCTTAGATAACGCGAAAAAATCGCGGGGAATCGGAAGTAGTATATCTCACCTCGCAGAAGAACTCATTGCCACGAAGTCCACAGAACCAGGTGACCCAGGAGACTTCCTCGGAGCTGCTCATTTTGCTGCAAAATAATCGAAGTGAATTGATGATTTATATTATTTGATTTGCTTTCTTTTTTTTTCTGACAAATTATCCTGCACACGCACACCAGCATGCACATGTCACACACGTACATACACACACACACACTGGGGCAAACGCTCACGCACTATTACATACATTAGGGGGATTATTTTGCGTAATTTGGCCTGGCGTGCGGAATTTATTGTTGAAATACCATGGAACGCAAACTTGACGAAAGTTTTTCCACTTTTCTGCTCCTCTTTTCCTTCTTGCCTCCGCTTCTTGTTGCTCGCACACACTTCCACACACACCACACACTCTGCTTTCCGCTTCTTTTCTTTTTTTTTTTTTTGGTTGGTTTGCGTTTGCGTTTGGCTTTTTGTTTTTCTTATTTTCTCCCGATGCGTTCGTTCAGCGTTGCTGGCTTCGAATGATCACACCGTTCGAAGGGGGGAAAAAATGAAATGAAATTTTTATACTCGTATTTTGACAATTGACAAGCGCTCATACAAAATGTGCCGAGCAGCAAGAAGAAGCACACACTGGTGGAAATTGAGAAAAAAAGAGACACATATACAGGGGCCACACACACACGCACGCGACGTGCACACACGCACGCCTTTACACTGAGGAGCGCAATCAACGCACACAGGCCCGCTACTTTGCATTATTCCCGCTGCGGCCGTCTTCCAGCGGCCTTCCAGTGGCTAGCACTCACCTAAATTGTTATAAATTACGCAAATTGATTGACGTTTGCAATGCAACAGAACCGGTAAAGGCAAATATTGTAGCGAAGACGGGGTACCAGGTATGCAATCGCGCCTATCGATAACCGCTGCCTGCGCTGTCCGCAGGCGAATGTCTATCGCTGGCGTGGTGCCATCGCTAGCCGATATATCGTCATGTCAGCATCGCGTGTTTTGCAGCACTGCAAATAAAAAAGTATTGGTTAGTTATTGTATGTAAGGGCACACTATTTTGCATATTTTAAACAAATAAATAGGGTATTCCCCAAACTGTTGAAGTGCTGAGTTGTTGAATTTCGTTTTGAATTGTTTAACTGTTCCATACATATTACATTTTTTGAAATTTCAGCCCCAAGGTTGTTAAACCGATGAAAACCAGAGTTGTCACCATGGCAATCCTGGAACATTTCAGTATCTCCAGTACGCATTATTCACTTTAAAATAAAATAAGACAATATGTTTGTAGTTAAATCTTGTTTTTATTTCAAAAAAAAAGTTATTGGCTAATCGATAAAGTTTGGAAGAAATTAATTTTGATATCAAATATCGATAAGGATAATTCCGTATACCGATATATATGTAAGGCGCGTAAGTTTAAAATATACTTTTTTCTTTACTATTTTTATTAATCATATCAAATAATTATATTAAAATAATCATTTATTGAAAAGTTTATTGAAATAGTACACATATTAATACGTCTTTAGTTGTGTGGATAGTTTCACAATCACAGCTTATTGACAATCTTGAATATTTCCTTGGCATTCTGGCGACCGTTCACCACATAGGCCAGCGGATCGTCGCGACTCGATTCCATCAGGTGGTCGCAGGACTCCTGTCCGATGTCGAACATAAAGGATGCGTCGATGTCCTGCGGCAACTTGCCGCGCAGGAAGCTAATCTCGTTGTCGGCCAGAGCCGGTTTCCGGGCCAAAAGCAGGGCGGACAGGTAGCGCGGCTGCTTCTTCTTCTCGGCGCAGTGCATCACCAGGCCCCAGGTGTCGTAATCCGTGTCCAGGACGTACGTGTTGTAGATGCCCTCATCTGGAACGGTAAGTATTTTCTTAAATTAAACTTATCTTTAACATAATTTAAAATTAATTCAATGAAAAACTTTAAATTTGCTCCTAAAAGTATGCACTTAAATATCATATTCGGTTAAAGATCATAAAGATCGTGGCATACTTTTTTTTTAAGGTAATTTTTTAAGATCCTGGAAAATATTTATACCACTCACATATATCCTCCGTGTGCTGCCAATGTCCTGGCTCATCGAACTTGGGTATCATCCAGGTGATGTTGCCTACAAGCTTTTCACGCAACGGATCCTCCGCGAATATATAGCTAAAGTTCATCGTTATCTATTCAAAATGGGATACAAATATTATAAAGGTTGATAGAGGTCCCAGCCCCAAACCCACATGTTGATCTTCCTTGGAGAAGGAAAAGTGACTGCGCATGCAAGCGTATTCGGGCAGCTCCTCCGTGGAAGCATAATACTGAACCACGTGCCAGCAGCCCATCATCCGTTCCAAATCAAAGTTCTTTATAGCGCCAACCTATAAAAAAAACATGAATTTGATTATTAAATATATACTATTTTAGACTAGTTAACACATTTTGCGAAAAAAAATCCAGGTTTAAATGCCAATCGATTGGAAATTTAATAACGAGTTCAGAAAGGTATGACAATCCATATTTTCTTTGTTTTAGCGAAAAAACTGTTTCGTTTTTTGTGGAAATTTGGGATTTTGGTTTCTGACAAAAATATGAATTTTTTCTTTTGGTTTTTTTGCTGTAACTTGGCCAACTTGGTCCTACACCAAAAATACATACTGTTTTGAACAGATAACAAAATTTGCAATAAATCCATAAAACTTTCCGTGTGATTTTGGAAAAATAAAATTTTCGCCAATTTTTAATTTTTTATAAGGGGGTACCCCATGATTTTTTGCGAAAAATTAAAAATAAATAAAATGTCAAGGTTTAAATGCCAATCGTTAGGAAATTTAATAACGAGTTCAGAAAGGTATGACAATCCATACTTTGAATCAGTATTTGCTTTGTTTTAGCGAAAAAACTGTTTTTTTTTTTTTTTGGCAAAAAAAAGTTTTTTTTCTGGAAATTTGAGATTTTGGTTGTTGACAAAAACATGAATTTTTTCTTTTTGTTTTCTGCTATAACTTGGCCAAAAATGGTCTTACACCAAAAATACATACAGTTTTGAACAGATAGCAAAATAATTAATAAATCCGTGGTGATCTTCAAAAAAAATAAAATTTTCGCCAATTTTATAAATCCCTTAAAAATCGATTGAATCTTGTAAAATGTTAAGAGTTGTTTGAAATCATCAAATCAGAGTACTGAGGAGATGTTAATAAATTGCAATAGCAAATAAGAAACGAAATATGATATTAGAAAGGTCAAGGATGCCGGCATGCAAATAAATAAGTCAAATAAACATTTAGGCCACAAATGCCTTGGCTATTTTCCCCCTTCAACGTGGCTAGCTGCATTTATTTACATTGTTTGCCTTGGCGACCACAAAACCGAAAGAAAAACACCATAAAGACCCAAGAAAACAAACTTCGGTAGGTGAAAGAGTCGAGTTGGAGAAGCGACAGACGACGAAAGCCGTTAGCGCTGTCACCGTGATTGACTACTGACAGTTCATTGAGGAGTCGGTGTCGCTGTCTCTGTCTCTGTCCTTCTCCCTGTTGCCGTCTCTCTCTGCACCGCTAGTGCCGTCTCTTTCGCTGTCGAGCAAGTGCAAGACGCGACTTGCAGACGCGAAATGTAGACGCAAGTCAGCCTCTGATTGATGCGCCTCAAAAGCGCATTGCACCGCATGTGCCGCCCCCTTTTCACTCCCCCCCTCCCCCCTTTCAGCCCCCTTTTTTCAGCCGCCTCTTTCTTCAGGTCTCTACGTGCGTGTCTTTTGTCTATTCTTGTTGATTGTTTTCTGGCTTTTGGCTCTTGGCTCTTGGCTCGCTTTTCGGTGTTTGTACTTGCATTTGTATTTGTATTTGTGTGACTGCACCTGCATCAAAGTGCAATTGTCGCCGCCAACGGAGATGCAGACACACAGTGGTGTAGAGGGGGGAGGGGTCTGGAGAAAGGGGGTAAAGACAGCGAGACGCAGACGACGTCTGAGCCACTTAGAAAGTGTGATTGATTTTGGCATCGGTGTGAGCCCATTTCTTCTGCCTTGCTCTTTCTGCGCCTCGCTTTAATGTCCCATTCATTCTTTTCGCTAGAGATGAAACGTGCCCCCCAGTCGATAGAAGTTGAAGACAAGAGCCACTCACCTATCATCATTTATGTATCATTTTGTATGATCAAAGTCTCTTGGGCAGAGGAGAAAACAAATATTAAAGGCTAACTTGTCCTGAAGAAATAAAATTCTTTGTGTGATCCTGAACCTGTTGGGAATTATAGAGCGCTTCAAAACGGTTGGAAGAAATGAAGATCCTAATGAAGGAAAGCTTGATATTTATACAAAACTATACCATTTTATAGACAGAAGGTTCATATAGTCCTCTAGATCTCCAGGTCTCATAACTCTGAGACTTTATAAGACTTTGGCTCGTACTTTTTATGCCATACAATAGTTTGAGTTATACAAAAACTACTGTAGACTTTGCTATTTCCCTCATGTTAATAAGTATACGGTGTCATCACTAGTGACTTGAAATATGTCACAGTGTGCCCGGCATATTGATGAGCCTCTGAGCTTCAGTTTGGGTTTGAGATGCTTTCCTCCTCCGGCGGCTGTGCTCAGAATGAAATCGAATCGAAGCTAAGCTGAGTGAAGTGAAGTGAATCGCTGCCAAAGAAAGTGATCCAGTTAGAAGAGGCCAGGGACGTGATCAGGGACGGGAACCCGTACATCCAAAACTGCACCTGCATCCGAATAAGTAATGGAGTCTCAACTGTCAGCCGTTCTGATTGTTTTGTTCTTGTACCAAAGATATTTGACCTCAATACCACATATACTTGAAACTAATGCCAATGTAATCTCAATTTAAAGATTATAATATTTTAGGCTTCTAAAATGTATGTATATTTCTATCACAAACCCTGAATCATAATATAAACTCTAGGAAATGGATTTCCCCGGTCTTATAGACCAGTTGACCTTGATAACTAGGGAGTTGATGGGTGGGTTACGTACCTTGGGACACTGGTTACTTGGACCTGATCGCCTCCTCGTTTGATATGCATTGCTATTGTGCCTCGTCCACAGATTGCCATCCACCGGGGTGAAAATTTCCAGGATAATTATTAAAGAGGCGAAAAGCAGGATCACTCCATTCCTGCCCATGATCGGGGGGGCCATTATTCCGGATCAGGGGGGCTATTAATGGCTTATTGTCGTTAATCTTCCGGCGGGCTCAGACGCGCGATCTCCGTTGCGTTGTCGCTGGCACTGTTTTCGATGGCACTGCGCCATCTCCGCGAGCAACATGCGACATTAGCATCCAGCAATAGCTGCACTTAGAAAAAATTAAATAAATTTGTAAAAATTACAAAATAAAAAAAAAACTTTTACCGTTTTCGAGGAAAATAAATCAATAATTGGTAAGCAATTACGAGCCTTAGATATTCTCTTTACCGTGTATCATAACTGAAATATAATTACTATGATTACATTTCTGTAATTTCTTATTTACCTTATAATGAAAATACCAAAAATAATTTTGTGTTTAAAACTAATATGTGTATTTTTTTCAAGTGTACCACAGCGAATCGGAACGCAACGGATTCGGATGTTTTTGCGGATAAGGCGCCTTCTTATTGCCACAGAATTCTATGGGAAGAACTGTGGCTGGGTCATTATCGGGAAGCTGGAAATAAATGCGACATAAATGCGCACTTGGTTGCTTTTTAGCTAAGTATGCATACATATATTCAAGTTCATTTGAGTTTGGAAAATGTAAAAGAACTTTGCATTTTAGGATCATTTTAAACCAGCACTTAATACAAAATAATTTATTTAATTTTAATACTTATACCTACCTTTTTGATTTTAATTTATCTAGTTTTTAACTTTAAAATATCACCATTTAGCTTTGTATAAACCTTTAAAAAAAGGTTCCATAGTGGAAATTCCAGGACATGATTTCCCGAATTTTCCATTCCTTCCTTAAGTAGATCAGGGATCCCTGAAATTTAGCGGTTTTCCTAGGCGATCGCATCACTTTCCAGCGTGGTGAATTCCCTCGCTCATTTGAATATTGGAATTTAATCAGCCGCCGTCCCTCTCCCTCTTCCACTCCCTGGCACTTGCTCTCCTTCCAAGAGTGCGGGTGAGTAAGCCGCTCTTATCAATTATAACGTCCGTTTTACCAGTCAATGCCTTCCACTTCCACTGCACACTTGGAAATATGGATGTGTGGAAAATATATAGTCTGGGGAACGGGAATTAAGTATTTTCGGCTGCATCTTGTTTTCACTTGTCGCGTGGATGCAGATTTCCAGATTTCCAGATTTCCAGGCAACTTTCTCGCCGCGGAGAGCGAAATTTTCGGGGTGGTGTGTGTGGTGAAGGTGTATGGAAACAGGAAACATTTTAATAGCCTGCAAATTTATTCTTTACGATCGCCAGAACGAACTGAGCGCTCCGCTGGACACTTTCTCTTTATTGCGAAACGAGTTGCGCGGCATTTTCACGACCGGACTGGAATGAAACTGGACATCCTCAGAGGTGACTACTTTTGCCGCTTCGGCTGCTGCTTCTTCTTCCGCCTGCGTCTGCGTTTTAAGTATTTTTTTTATTTATTTTTTTTTTTTTTGGAGTTGTCTGGTTTTTTTTTTGTTGGCCAGCCCAAAAAAGCGGCGCAACTTTCGTCGCCGCATTGCGTTGCGATGCGTTAGCGGCCAGTTCCGGCTTCTACGGCGGCTCCTTCTCCTCCTCCTCTCTCTCCTGCCTCTTTCTTCGCCTTTCTCGCGCCTTTCTCCCTCCCCCTTTTCTCTTTGCCATCGCAGACGCAGCGAGGCGAAAAGCGGCTTTTAATGCGCCAGCGAAACGAAACGAATCGAAATAAAGCAACAAGTGCCCATTCGGAGAAATGTCGCCTGCTCCTTTGGCTCTCCCGCTCTCTTTTTTGGTTGACCAAGTTCCTGATCTCTCGCTGGAATGCGTGCTTGTGTGTGTGTGTGCAGATGAATGAAGTCTAAGATCAAGGACAGTTAAAGGGCAGGATTGCCGAGAAAGAGAGAGAGAGAGAAAGAGGAAGTAGAACCTCCTTTTAAAGAGTCCTTACCCATATTTCACCCTATTTAATATCATCGAAATTTATAATCCATCCCAAAACAACGACTTCTTATTAAAACCACGAAATATAATTAAATTAATAATAATTAAATACAAATAGCCATATTAAATAAAGGCCATAGGAAGCATATTGTAAGGGTATACATATAAGCTTCGGCAGAACTAGTTGGGAATTATTGTGTCCTTGGGCAGAGATAATAAAAAAATGATATTATTAGGCTAAGGAAGTTGGGAAAAAAATAAGGTAAATCGAAGAAGGAGTTACAAAATATTTATTATATACTTTCCTTATTGAAATCTTAAAACAAGTGTTTTTTATAATTCCAGCTCTTGGTTTAAATCAGTGTGTCCATCCGGCTGGCATCGGTGATTTCTCAATGAACGGCTCTGAGCTTTTGGACACGCCACCCGATCGTCCAGCCGAAATGGCCATATAACTAATATAACTGGGGGCTGGAATCGGAATGCCTCAAATGCGAGTGCCACGCCCGAATTCGCATCCAAATCCCAATCCCAATCGAAATCCGACTGGCAACAGGTGGGGCTAGTTAGCTGGTTAGCTGGTTAGCTTCAGGTGACAGTCGACAGTCAGGCAGACGGAATGTCTGGCGCGGCTCGGAGTGGAATGTCAAACGTTTATTTGCCGGTAATTAAATTTGAAAATGATTTAAATTTCACCAGCGAATATTTCAAATTGGTCTTAACACTTTCTTTCGCAGCATCAGCATCAGCATCTGTGTTTCCATCTCTGTTTGGCCAACGGCCCACCCGCAAGCTGCGATACCGACTCGATGACCCACCTAGGAAACCCCCGCCCCCCCCTTTCCACCGCCGCCCATGGGCAATCCATGGGAGCAATCCGGCTGATTGGAGATTTGTTTTCTATTTGCAATTGATCGATGCTCGCCTGCCAAGCACCAACAACAGCCACATAAAATTGCAGAAAACCAAAAACAAAAAAATAAAAAGTGAAAAAAAGAGTTAACGCTAAAATTGAGCTGGACGTTGTTGGATGGTGTCCACGTCCACGTCCGCGTCCACGTCCGCGTCCACGTCCGGTGGGTTCGTTAATGGCATTCCGAACTTGGGATCAGGCCGACGGATTATGGTGCCGGCCGACCAGCCTAACTTTCAGCTTCTTGAACAGCGCTAAGCAAATTGCTCATTTCATTTTCATTAATATTTCAGTTGGTACTTCGAAAACTGAACATGTACCATATTTCGAATATTTTTCTTTATAATCTATAATATGATATTAAAATTGTAGTTTTCCCAAATTACAATCGAAAACCACAAAAAAATCATATTTTGCCTAAAATTTAACTTCCTATTTCCCACCCTAAAAAATCGGTATTTTAGCCAAAACCAAAAGATATAATGATCAAAAAATGTAGTGTCGTACCTCGCTGGGCTCGTAATTAAATTCCCAATCGATTGGCATTAAAATCTCAAACTTTTAATTTTTGTCAATTTTTTGCAAAAAAAATCATAAAAAATCAAATATGCGAAAATTGGTCAAAAAATAAATTTCCCAGAGATGGATAGGATTTGGTCGTATAGGTCGTTAGCTGTTCAAAACAGTCGGTCTTTTAGCTCTAGGCCTTGAATTGTTCAAGCTACGACTAAAAAACCATACAAAAATTGACTATTTTCGTCGAAAATTTGAATCCTTATTTTCACCCTATAATCCCAGTTTTTTGGTCGTAACAATGGAAATAATGATCAAAATATGGAGTGTTATACCTCGATGAGCTCGTAATTAAATTCCCAATCAATTGGCATACAAACCTAGAAATTTTTAAATTTTGTCATTTTTTGCAAAAAATTGTTTTTGTTTACTGTTTGATTGATATTGAGATCAAATACTTATAATAATATAAATATCGTTAAAATTTTATATATTGATTTATTATTTACACTAGTCCGTTATTTTCCTTCTGATGTAAGAGATCTAAAACCTCTCCATTATAATATAAGCAACCCAATTGGCAACAAACCATTTCCCACAACTGAACCAAAGCATTAAGATCTTGGCCTTTGCGAGTAAATCAACTTTTACCCGAGCCAACACTCGGAGCAAAGGGGCAAAAAAAGCATGATTCTGGAGTGGTTGCCACCAGCTGCTCCGCGATCTTGAGTGCGTGTGGCTTGGAAAGCGTGTGGGATTACTTGGAGTGCACTTGGTGGTACATGATATGCCGTAGATCATGGCTAGTTTCGCTCGCCGCTCAATTATGCGGCGACACAGAGACATAGTCGTAAATGGTGGAAAATCTGTGTGGAGAGGGGGGGCGATTTTCAGGGGCTCGGGGATCCATGCGTGCCCTTCCCATGGCCACCATCCATCATCCGTCGTCGTTCGTTGGCCAACATCAGCGTCCAACATAAACCATCAAGTGGGTTCCGTTTTGTTTGCGCATGCGCGGCGCATTCAGCATCGATATTTCACGATCGTCGTCTGCGGTTCAGACTCAGTTTGATGGCGATGGAGTAGAAAAACTGTGTAGAAAAAACTGTGGACAAAAAAGGTGGAAATGGGGGAAGAGATGGAGCTGACTTCGTGCTGCTATTTGGTGGTCCGCGATTTTGTTTTCATTTGGAAAGTGGGTGTGTTTGTCTAGCTGTCCGAAGAGCTCCCAAACTAGCAAACCCCCAGACTGTGTCCCCTTCTCCAATGTCAACTCAGTGGTCAAAAAGAGGGGGTCTGGGAAAATGCCTCCCCTGGCGGACTGGGGTCAAGCGAACCGACGAAAAGGAAATGCGAGGAATGTCGTGGAAAAACGAGGAAAGTGATCTATGATGCTCTTCAAAGCGATCTTCCTAATATGAGGGTTTTTCTTTTTGTTTTTTGGGCTGTGGAAGTTCAGCCCAGTCAAGTGGTTAAGTGATCTACCACAATTTATGTTGACATTTTGGATGATCTTTAAATATTTACGCTTGGACTTTACGATCTACAACTTTATTTGGTTAATCTTTAACTGTTTTGGCTTGAATTTAACGAGCGTAAACTAAATTTATGTCGACACGCTCTTACCATATAATTGGGAGGTGAAATATGATAGTGTGTAAAGTGATTTTGGAGAATGGTTTAAATGGTAGGTCAAAAATGTATTTTTTTGAGTACTGATAATATGAAATATCTTTCCTACTTTGTAATAACAAACCCATCGATATGA